TTTTAAGGGAAATTTAAGCTCCTTGGGGTCTGGGATTAAATTTTTTATACCTCATATATAATAAGGCATTCAGTAAATGTTGGGAAATAATTATGATGAATAGTAATTTTTGAAATTAAAAATTTTTTCACAAGTATTTGAAAAAAACGTACTGACTTTTGGTTTTTGGAAGGGCTATGAATTGTCAGCCTTTAGAAGCACACCCTCCAGTCTGGAGAACAGGAAGTTATTGCATATGTTCAGCTTCTGTTAGATCTCTTTAGGCAACCCCAGTGCTTTGTGCTGCAGTGGGCTTGTTCATCCACTTAGTGCCACTGTGAAAAATTGGAGTGTAAAGCGGGAACTCTGGGTTGTTGAGTCTCAGAAGTGTCTACTCTAACCTCAAGAATTTCAGTGCACCCTCTCTGGGGTTGTAATTAGTCCAGGAAATGTGATATTTGAATTTAAATGTGTGTGACTTTGTGTGATGCTTATTAATTATGTAATTATGTGTGTGTATTGTATTTGGAAAATCAGTCTTAAATACCAATCTTTTGTAAAAAACGTTTGAGAAAATGTTCTCTCTGTTCGTTCATGTTTTCCTTGAGAGCTAAAACGAGTGTTTTCAGCCTGAGCTTACCCAAGTATAATTTTCCATAAATGTTTAGTAAAATAGCAATGAAAAAGAAACCTATTTGTTAAGCTTATTTTAGAAACATTTTATTTAAACCAAGTCCAATCATTGTTTTGTTTTGTTTTGTTTTTGAGGCTCTGGGTACATGTTAATTTTTGTGCATTATGTATCATAGTTCCTTTCTTATGAGCTAGGGGATGAATTATTCACTTTCTGGGCTTTTCAGTTAGAACTTTGGTCCATCAATATTCTTCTAAGGTGAATGGGCTGGAAGAGACAATAGTAAAAGGAGGTGAAACAAATCAACTTCAGGTGTTTCCAGAAGATTACAACCACATTGAGCTATTGGAAACTTTCAGTCTTGGAGCAACAAGAATGCTTTGTCTGAAGTTATTTTGATGTAATATGGACAAAAGTTGGAAAATGAATTTTTGACTGCTCAGGTAAAATAAGTGGATTGTATATGCCTTAGAATATATACTTTTTTCTGAAGTGTAGTTCAGAATTAGGCTAATGAGTTTTTGACCCCACTAAATGCGGTTTAGTTATTGAAGATTCAAACACATTTCATCATACAGTCTTTTTTTTTTGCCTTTTCACATGTCTGTGTGCCTCAATGTGAACATTTATATGAAGTGAAGAAAAGTCAGAAAATACAACTTTGTTTATTTTTATTTTTAAATTTTATTTATTTGACAGAGAGAGACACAGCGAGAGAGGGAACACAAGCAAAGGGAGTGGGAGAGGGAGAAACAGGCTTCCTGCAGAGCAGGGAGCCTGATGCGGGGCTCGATCCCAGGACCCTGGGCTCATGACCTGAGCCGAAGGCAGACGCTTAACAACTAAGCCACCCAGTCGCCCCAGAAATACAACTTTAAAGAGAGCTTCTAGTATATTTTTGAAAGACAAAAACAAAAAAATCTAGGAGGCAAATAAGGCGGGCCTACCACATTTGTGATCCCTTGAGGCAAATCTGTATTCTGTCACCGAAAGTAGTCTCTTAGAAGATAATTGTACCATATATGGGATCTCCTCCAGAATCCCAGACCTTGTAGCCTGCCTTATCAAACTGTTACTGAACCATCAGATAATTTTTTGAGGAAACCAGGTTTGTTAAGGGAGGGGTGTGTGGGTGTGTGTGAATGTGTTTTGGGAAAGTTGGTTACTCTAGAAGAGTAACTGATGCAGATAAAAGAATCTAGTTTTATAGATTGGGATGATCACTGGAATTTAGGGCATGTACTTTTTTTTTTTAAGATTATTTATTTGAGAGAGTGAGCGAGCAAGCCAGGGAGGGGCAGAGGGAGAGGGAGAGAGAGAATCCCAAGCAGACTCTGAGCTGAGCACGGAGCCTGACATGGGGCTTGATCTCATGACCCCCTGAGATCATGACCTGAGCTGAGACGCTTAACCAACTGAGCTACCCAGGCACTTTTTTTTTTAAGATTTTATTTATTTATTTGAGAGAGAGAGAGCACAAGTCAGGGTGAGGGACAGAGGGAGAGGGACAAGCAGACTCCCCACTGAGCGGGGAGCCCAACGTGGGGCTCAATCCCAAGACCCTGAGATCATGACCTGAGCTGAAAGCAAACGTTTAACCAACTGAGCCACCCAGGTGTCCGCAAATGACCAGCAGCTTATTGAAAGCAAAGCCAACTTGGGAATCTCCTGCATTGCCGAGGCTGATGAACTCCCAAAATATTCTCAAGGGTCTAGGCTTCTTTTTATCCTTGCTCTGGGTGTCAAGATTAAGTCACCTTAAGTCAGTCTGCCTTTCTTTCTTTTTCTTTCTTTTCCTTCTCTCTCTCTTCCTTTCTTCCTTCCTCCCTCCCTGTTTGTTTCTTCCTTCCTTCCTTCCTTCCTTTCCCTCCCTCCCTCCCTTCTTTCTCCCTTTCTTTCTTTCTTTCTTTCTTTCTGCTCTAGGCAGGGATGAACTCACAGTCCTGAGACCAAGAGCCACACACACCTCACTGACTAAGCCAGCCAGGCACCCCAAGTCATCCCTTCTTTCTTAATGCAACCACTACCTACACCTTACCTTATAGAGTTGTCTTCTGACATTATCCTGTCTACAGTTTTTGACTTCCACGTGAAGCTGATCACTGTCACTTCATTGGAATCCAGTTCTTTTAATCTCTTAGGGTAGATTTTTCTGCTTTTTTCCCTGAGACTGATTCTAGAATCTTTGGTTATCCAGAATGAAGAGCCTTTTGGATAGAGCAACTGGGGTTCACAGGCTCATTTGTCTTAAGAAAATAACTTGGATGTCTGAGGAGGGTGGACACAGAGGTCTCTCATTATGTTTACTGAAGGTCTACTATGAGCCAAGCATTGAGATGCTGGTATACAATCATGAACAAGATGAAATCCCTGCCCTCCGGCAGCTTCTGGATTGTGGAGGATTCATGGTCTGAGAAGTGCTGTGGAGAAAGAGTAACGCAGTACTTTCAAACTTTTTGTAGCTGTAATCCAGCAATCCGGTATCATGATCCAGTACAAATACACAAACCTATGTACATACATTTATATATCTGAAATAAAAGCTTCAGAAAACAAGAGCCTTACTAAGTTTGATGCTCTCTAATATTTTCTATTTCTTTTATGAAATGTTGGTCATGACCCACTAAGTTCATTTTGTGCTTCCTCAGTGGGGATCAAACTGCAATGTGAAAATGCTGGTAATGGTTAAGAGCACAACTCTGAGGTCAAGCTGATGGCTTTCAGACCTGGCTCCACCTCTTATTGTCTGGGTTTGGGCAAATAATCTCTACATGCCCTTGTTTCTCTACCTGCAAAATGAAATAATAATAACAGTATATCTGCCTCATGGACTTTCCTTGAGAATTAAATGAGAAAGGAGATAATGTATGTAAAGGACTTAAAATAGGCCCTGAAACATTGAGTGCTCAATAAGCACAAGTGATAAATACTGGGTATGATGATAAAAGAGCCAAAGCACTCAATTTGGGGGGGATTCGAGAATGTGTCCTGGAGGAAAAGGCATTAATGTTGAGACCTTAAGAAGTGGCAGGTGACGAGAAGGTATAAAGAATGGAGAAGAAAGTTCTGTGCAGAGAGAGCAGCCCTTGCAAAAATTATGAGGCGGGAGAACTTTCTGCCATGTACGACTTGAGAGCTTCTTGATTTGGCTGCAGCCTGAGGGAGATGTCTGTGGCAGATGAGGCCGAAGATGGCCGCAGGGGTGAGGTCACCAAGGGCCTTGAAGCCAACTCAAAGAATTTTAGGCTTTAACTTATGTGCAATGGGATCTTATTATGCCTGTTAAGCAGGGAAATGACATGTTCTCTTTTTTGAAAGACCACTCAAGCTATGGGGGGTAGAATGGATTGGAGAGGGCAATTCCCGTGGCAGGGAGACCATGAAGTCTTTCGCAGCATCTTGATTAGAGATGATTTGGTAGCCTGAACCAACCATGCATCCTAACGCAATGGTTCTTAAATTATGGTGTTCATGAGAATTACCAGGACAAGGTGTGTTGGGGGGGGGCGGGGAAGGGCTGTTAAAAATGCAGTTTCCTGGGCTAACAAGCCAAGATTGTGGAGACAACCAATTGGGGCCCAGCATTTAAGTAATCAGCCCTACTGATCCTGATGCACGTAGTTTCCTGATCCCACTTTTAAAAACCAAGAACAAAAACTACCTCTCGTACGTCTCTGACATTATATTGTTTTTCTGCTACCCACTCCTCTTTACTTCTCAGGCACCTGCTTGGGGGTCCCTATTGCTTCGGACTCCCTGCACTGAACGTACAAACTCCTTGACAGCAAGGGCTTCGTCTTTCTAATAGGTGCATCTCCAGCGTGTCCAGAACAAAACTGGCACAGAAAGGGCCCTCTAGAAATGTTTGCCAAACGAATGAATGGGTGGATAAATTAAAATATTGCTTTGTGCAAAAATTTTTGCTTTTAAATACCTGGGCAGGGTTTGAAATCGGGAAACAAAGGTCATTCCGAAGAAAGGGTGAAGATGCGACTGTCAAGGCTGAGGAAAATGCGGGGAAGCCCGTTCCCGATTGTCGAGGCTTGTTCAGGAGGTGCTATAATTCTCCGGGCTGAGGGGCGAGAAATGTTACTATTTTCAGATTAGCAACCATCTTGGGCTGCCTGCGCCACTCTCCCAAGAGTCCACACTTGACTAATCCAGTTGCCTTCATGGTTCCGGCCCCATCCAACCCTGTCAAGCTAAATGTGGGCTCTAGGAGGCCGCGGGGGCGGGCAGAGACCCTCGCCCAGAGCCCCCTCCGGGCCAGCCCCGCTGAAGCAGCGCCGACCTCCTCATCATGGCGGCCGCCGGGCGGGGAAGCTGAGCCCGTGCGTCGCGTGCGTGCCTCCTCTCCCTCCCCTCCCCCCGCCTCGGCGGCGGCGGCGGCGGCAGAGGCGGCAGCGCTCGCCATTGCCGCTGGTGGCAGGAGGCTGCGAGGAGCCGGCGCGGTCGCAGTCTCCACGGCGCAGGCCCACGGTAGCGCAGCCGCTCTGAGGTGAGTGCCCTACCGCGCAATCTCCAGCTATTTCAGCCCCGGCGCAGCCGCAACACGCCGCCCGCCCGCCGGCCGGCCGGCCCGCCCCGCAGCCTGCACCCTGCCGCCCCCGGCTCCGGGCCTGGGCCCCCGCCGGATTCGGCCCGCCTCGGGCGGGGGGCCCCGGCCCGGCCCAGTCAAACCGCCACCCCGAGGATGCGCAGGCCGCAGTAGGCCCCAGGCGTCCTGGCGGGCTCGGGAGGGAGGCGCTGCCCTCCCGAGAGCCCCAGGGTTCCGGCCTCCCCCGCCGCCTGAGGCTCTGGGGGCCGCGGCCTCCTCACCACCGTAGAACCCGGAGCCCGGGCCCGGTCTTCCCGCGGGCTCGGGAGCGGGAGGCCCGGGAGAGCGCGCCGGGCCCGGGAGCGGGAGGTGGGCGGGCTGCGCGGGACCGGAGCCGCGGCTCCCCGCTCGCCCCCTCGGCCCTTCCCCGGTCTGGTCCGCGGGCGGCGCGGCGGGCCGGGCCGGGGCGCGGGAGCCGCTGTCTACTGCGGGAGAGGAGTCTGGCTCTTCGGGCGGCCTCCGAAGCTTCCTCCCGCCGGGGTGGCGTGGGCTTGTTACCCAGGTAGACCGGGGGACGCTCGAATATGGCGCGTTGCCCACCTTCTTGCAAGTTAGGAGGCGGCCCGGGCAGCAGCGGCGGCAGTTCGAGGAGGAGGGCGCAAAGTCCTTTTGTACGCAGAAATAAGGAGCGACATTGTGTTTTCTTCCCCAACTGAGATGCTGCCGGTGGAGGGGCCTCGGTTCTTCCTATGCCTGGGGTGGTGGTCTCCTGGGTGAGGAGAGGGGGAGTGGCGCGCCCCTCGGAAGGAACCGAACTGTTGCCACTGCAAAGACAGGGGCTCTGGATGGCCTTGTGCAAGGGTATTATTTCACATCCCCAGCCTTTCGGGGAACTCAAGGGTTTGCCTCTGCATGTTGTCCACCTCACTGTGCAATGATGTCCACCGCCTCCCTCACCTGTTGTGTCGTTGCTGCTGGTCCCAAAGTTTCTACAGTGCATCTGACTGTGCCCATCAGAACTTGGAGTTGTTTAAAAATCTTAGTATTTTTAGGGCTTCAAATGGTAATCTGCTCCAGCCAGTTGGAGGAGCTGTTGCCTGATCTCCATCCCTCCTTAAGCATTAGATTAGAATATATTAATTGCTTACTTCAGAGCTGGTGTCAGTTGTGCTTAATTCTTTTTGTGGTCAGAGCAAAATTCACGTTTTCTTAAGTGTGTAGAGACAATGGATTGGGAAGTTTTCAAGGTGAAGGCAGTGTGAGTGAACCTGTCAGCTTGGGCAATGCTCACAGGAGAATGGGTTTGCGCATCTCACCTGTTTTTCCAGGGCATCATCTATGCCCACGGTGATCCTTTTCCTATTTCATGTCCAGCCTTTTAAAAAAAAAAAAAAATTACTTTTGCTTTGACTTTGAACAGTAAGTTATTGGGTTGTTCTTCACTCAAAAAAGGAGGGGCGAGGGGCCTTGGAGATGCTGGGGTTTTTTTGTTTTGTTTTTAGAGTTCAGTAGTAGTATCCAGATTTGTGTTTGAATGTTCTTGACGGGTTATCTCGTAAGGTAGTGAAAATATGACTAGAATCTGTGCATGAATGTAATTTCCTTATGAGCAGGAGAGGAAACATACAATTATCACATGTAATGTAATACTTATTCTTGGGTGTGCAGAATTGTTTGTGTTAAGGGACTTTTTTTTTTCTTCTGACAGGCATTAAATGTGACTTTCAACTGGGTCCATGACAAAAACAAAAAATAAAACAATCAGATTAAGAAGTACTGCTTAATATCTTTTGGCACATGCTAATGTGAAGTCCTTTGATTTCATCCTGTGTGCCTTTCCCCTCCCCCCCATCTCAAACTCAACATATATGAGAGAAAATGACTTTTTGCTTAGTAGTCAGTGGTCATATTCTTACTTAGCCAAAAAGAAAAAAATCATCCTCAAGCTAGGAGTTTTCATGGGAATAGATTTCTTACCATGTTTTAAGGAAATTTAGCTCCTGGATTTAGGAAGTAACTCTAAGAGCAGCAGATAATGAAAGCCCTTGTCCAGATCTAGAAGGGATTAAAGAAGAAAGGATTTCAGTTTCCCTCCCAATTCATGTATATTCCAATGGAACCCCAAATTGCAAGTTTCTTGTTATTATTAAATCACAAGTGTACATCTATCTCTAATTTTGTTAGGGAGCTGAAGACAAACTCCCTATGATTTAAATACCTGAATTTTCCATTGCCCGTATACTGTGAGTTCAAGCAGACCCCTGGGTTGTCTTGGAGAAGTATTTTATGTGAAATAATCACAAATGGGTGACTGTTTTAAGGGAAATTTAAGCTCCTTGGGGTCTGGGATTAAATTTTTTATACCTCATATATAATAAGGCATTCAGTAAATGTTGGGAAATAATTATGATGAATAGTAATTTTTGAAATTAAAAATTTTTTCACAAGTATTTGAAAAAAACGTACTGACTTTTGGTTTTTGGAAGGGCTATGAATTGTCAGCCTTTAGAAGCACACCCTCCAGTCTGGAGAACAGGAAGTTATTGCATATGTTCAGCTTCTGTTAGATCTCTTTAGGCAACCCCAGTGCTTTGTGCTGCAGTGGGCTTGTTCATCCACTTAGTGCCACTGTGAAAAATTGGAGTGTAAAGCGGGAACTCTGGGTTGTTGAGTCTCAGAAGTGTCTACTCTAACCTCAAGAATTTCAGTGCACCCTCTCTGGGGTTGTAATTAGTCCAGGAAATGTGATATTTGAATTTAAATGTGTGTGACTTTGTGTGATGCTTATTAATTATGTAATTATGTGTGTGTATTGTATTTGGAAAATCAGTCTTAAATACCAATCTTTTGTAAAAAACGTTTGAGAAAATGTTCTCTCTGTTCGTTCATGTTTTCCTTGAGAGCTAAAACGAGTGTTTTCAGCCTGAGCTTACCCAAGTATAATTTTCCATAAATGTTTAGTAAAATAGCAATGAAAAAGAAACCTATTTGTTAAGCTTATTTTAGAAACATTTTATTTAAACCAAGTCCAATCATTGTTTTGTTTTGTTTTGTTTTTGAGGCTCTGGGTACATGTTAATTTTTGTGCATTATGTATCATAGTTCCTTTCTTATGAGCTAGGGGATGAATTATTCACTTTCTGGGCTTTTCAGTTAGAACTTTGGTCCATCAATATTCTTCTAAGGTGAATGGGCTGGAAGAGACAATAGTAAAAGGAGGTGAAACAAATCAACTTCAGGTGTTTCCAGAAGATTACAACCACATTGAGCTATTGGAAACTTTCAGTCTTGGAGCAACAAGAATGCTTTGTCTGAAGTTATTTTGATGTAATATGGACAAAAGTTGGAAAATGAATTTTTGACTGCTCAGGTAAAATAAGTGGATTGTATATGCCTTAGAATATATACTTTTTTCTGAAGTGTAGTTCAGAATTAGGCTAATGAGTTTTTGACCCCACTAAATGCGGTTTAGTTATTGAAGATTCAAACACATTTCATCATACAGTCTTTTTTTTTTGCCTTTTCACATGTCTGTGTGCCTCAATGTGAACATTTATATGAAGTGAAGAAAAGTCAGAAAATACAACTTTGTTTATTTTTATTTTTAAATTTTATTTATTTGACAGAGAGAGACACAGCGAGAGAGGGAACACAAGCAAAGGGAGTGGGAGAGGGAGAAGCAGGCTTCCTGCGGAGCAGGGAGCCCGATGCGGGGCTCCATCCCAGGACCCTGGGATCATGACCTGAGCCGAAGGCAGACGTTTAACAACTGAGCCACCCAGGGGCCCCTGGGCACATATTTTTAAAGCAAGCTAAAAGAACTACTTATGTGTGGGTCATCTGGTAATTTAGACTGATTTATAGATAAATATATAGTGTATTTAGTATACAAGCATAGTATTTAGATAAATTCATGCATGCTGATTTCTATGGTTATAAATGTGAAAATTTTGGCTGACAGTTTAAATGGACATTTTCTTAATAACTCTTAAATGGTGCCTGTTGGGTAAACTATGCCAAGCCTTTTTCAGAATTATGAAGAATGAAGTTTTTATGCATAAACGTTAAGACTTGTTTTTAAAAAGGAACTTGTATCACTATTGGTAATTGTAAAGTCTTTGCTTTTTAGAACTTGGAGAGTCTGTTTTGTTGCTGCTCCTGAATGCTAATGTGGTTAGGCTGGCAGCTAGACCTACAAAAACAAGAGGAAGTGAGGAAATGTCCCCATGAAACATTGCTTAAAACTAAGCAGTGGACTAGAAATGGAGAGTGAGGGACTAGGGGACTTAATTCTTGTTTTATGTTCAAAAGGGGATAAGGTATACCCTTCATTGAGAAATAACCTTAACTCTGTCCTTGAAGTTTTGCCATTCATTCACTAGTCCTTGATCAAAGACATGCTATATTCCAGGCATGTGTTAAGTGCCACAGTAACAAGTAAACCACAGGCCTTGTCTACTAGAGGAGAAAGATAAGGGCTCAACTAACTACAATATAGCTTGTTGAGAAGTAAAATAAAGACTCGTGTGGAATTATAGAGGCAGGGGGTGAGTAATGTGGGGAGAGTAAGTGAGGTTAGGGAAGACTGTAGGAGATCTTTAAGTAGGACTTGAAAAAGTGAGTAGCTGTTTCACCTGATGAAGAGGTTAGAGGAAGGGCATTGATAGCCTGAGGAATAGCAAGTAGATTTTGCTATGCTTGAGGAGTAGTGGAAAATGAAGCTGATGAGGTTGTGACTTGATTGGGAAGAGCATGCGGAGTTCAAAGATTATAGTTCATTAATGAATGATGATGCCTTTAATTAAGATAGGGACTGTATTGGAAGAACAGAATTTGAGAAAGAAGGGAATAGGGTATGATTCTAGATGTGGGAATCAAGATACATCAAATAGCTTCCTATTGACAGATTTGGGCTGGAGCAGAAGGGGAAGTGGGGATCAATTAAGAGACTTGTATCCATT